AAGGATAGTTGGGGTTCTTTCGATACGGCTTCCGGTTCTCCTGGTAAATCGCCTAGCGGCCACCACCCCGAATTCCGTCAGCCATCCAACAATCTCTTCCTCAGACAGATCAATCAGGTCTACTGCATGGATAGTTCCCCGACTCTGGTTTAGTCTCTCCTCTCGTTCTACAACACATTCCATGTCTCCGAACATCCGAGCTTTGAGAAGTTTCTCAGTCTGGGTGCTAGTCTTAGTCCTCACCAGCAACCGTCCATCACTCATGAAGCTAGCCTTTTCAACTTTCTCCGTGCCCCCAAGAATCCCTCTGATGCATTGTTGTATCCATGGCCATCCCTTTTCTCTAGGAGATCTACCTGCTAGGAGCTTCACTGAGAGGTAGGATCCAGACTGAGACTCCTCCTCCCCCCAGAAACTATCAGTCAGATCATCGGCCCTTACCCTCTTACTGGCCCTATTAGGCCCCATCTTAAGTCCTATGCCATCCACACACCTCAACCTTACCTTCCGAAAGCGTAAGAAAGAAAAACCTTTTCAGTATATAATTGAAATTATCAATGGAAAGATACAAATCAAAAAGAATCTTAGTGGAAAAACACCGCCTTCGCTATCGCCCCGGATCGCCAGAAACGTCTTCCTCCAGCCACGTGTCTCGCGAGAATGACACTCTCAGAGAGTGAGTCACAGGGTTGATCCGACCAGGTGACCGCCGCAACTGTCGGTGTCTGACAGAGCTGTCACACGCGATCGACAGACCACAGCCTGCAGAGTGCAGACGGCACCTGGCACCCGCGAGGAAACGTCAAAAACGAGTTCACGATCGCATGACATAAATCAAACGATGGGAGTGACATGAGGCTAGTGGCAGCGCTCTGGAAGTCTTCCGAGAATACAGTTGTTGATTCCGTCTATGATTAACTCAAGCCCCTAACAATTTAAACCTGACGGTTACAGGAAAAGAGCAAAGCTCACGGTGCAACACGGATCGAGGTGTCCAATTCTCGCTGCTATGCGGGAAAGGAGTGTAAGTTCCGGCGGAAATGTACCTCTTCTCCTGGCCGGCTGCGACAAGGCCCATCCGCCACAGTAGGTACGGCGCGACTCAGTGACAACTCGGGCCGGACACGGCACTCGTATCCCTCTGACACGGCGGTGACGCCACCGGGACATACCTGTGAGACGGACGCGGTATTAGGCAGGATAGGCTTAGGGAGGAGCGGTCCAAAACGATAAGCGGGCGCCGTCAGATACGAGCTTCTTCGGGCCTTTGATAAAGCCCTCGGACTTAACCTGTCTGACCCCTGACATGCTCTGACAGAATATATGTCACTGTCACATATCGTCAGATATGTCCCAGCGTTATCTGACGCATTATGGCAGCGGCTGACAGTTCATGACCATTCCTAGAATGTCTGACGGATGACAATCCTTGGCTGATGTCTCAACAGGCTAACTGCCATAACCGGACATCAGTGGAGGGTTTTGGCAGCCCTGGGCCACCCCTCTGACAGTGCCCGGGGTGGCAGCGGACAGGTGACAGCGCCGACAGCCGGCGGCAGCGGCTGGCCGGCCGTGACAGCCGCCGGTGGGCGGCGGGCGGCTCTGCGCCGCTATAGATCGGGCGGCGAGCGGCTACCAGTCCGCCCCCGCCCGCGCCCACGCGCGCCGTGCCAGCCGCCGCCCGACGAGCTGCCAGCTCCGCAGCTCCGAGCTGGCCGCGGGGGCGGCGGCCGCACTGGAAAACTTCCCCGCCCGACCCGAGCTCCGGCGCGGTGCTACCTTACCCGGTTCTATAGGCCGGGTACGGCAAGACAGAAATACTGGCCGTAACGATCACACACCCGCCGGAGGGCTGCTTTGGGCAAACGACCTTCAAAGGTGGGCTTCACTGGCATCGGATGGATTCCCCGACCCCCACACGGTTGATAACTGGCGAGGGGGACACGCAGGAAACACGCACAGATTTCGTCACTCACATGTTCGTGATACATTCGAGATCTTGAATCCAACGCAGCGCCGCTAAGTTGACTTCACGGTGAACATCAAACCTCGAATCAAGCCTCGAATCATTTCCATTCTGCATGAAAGAATCCACTAAACCAAAACATCTCCAGCCGTCTGCAATTGCATTACGGGCGTCTTCTATTTTCATCACCTGCGCACTGCCCGCCTACGCGGCCAGCCGCCGCGCCGCAGCGAGCTGCGTTCACAGCGGTCGCGTGGGGGCGTACTCAGGGCCAATGGCCGCGGAACAACTGGATGAGGACTCCTATACAGGACTCCCCGAGGATAGCTCGAGGACTCGGAGAGAATACTTCGAGGACTTAGTGGCCGGGACGCCCGGGAGTCCGTGAACGGCCGTTCTGAGTCCGTCATTCCCGGACACAAAGCTTCGCTTGCTAACGGGATCGAGCTATTTTCCAGATACCTACTCACTGATGTGAGTGAAACTAGTTAGCAGTCGCCCCCGCAGAGTCCGGGTTATATAACAAGCCTGGAATACATCGAAATCATTCCATGAACCTAGGGCCAATATAGATTCAACATTGCGGATGTCAAAGGTGGTAAGAACCACAATGCCTTTGTCGGCCATTGCACAACTTTGATGTTTCAAAATGTTACGCAGTTTGAACCTTCGAATGGTGTGTATTGCAATATTGCAATGAAACATACTTAACTCTTCCACACAATTACCTGAAACCGACCATATCTACAATTATCTTGATTACGGAGACAGTCGTTCCCAAACACGTCAATGCCTTCATGCCCCCATACTGCTGCAGGAGCTCTGGCCTCTGTAACTTCACCACGACTGTTTGGTCCCCCCCCCCCTGCGGGCAGGTAGGGGGGGGGGGTCGGACGACCGCCGTCTGTCCTCAGTCCGCCCACACGGGCCCGTCGGCGGCCCGGGGCCGGGGGCGGCGGCTGACGGTGTTTCCAGGGCGAGGCCCCGGTGACCGCAGCAGCGGGGGCGGCACTCGGGCCAGTCACGGAGACCGGTCGGTCGGGCTAGTCCGTTTACCAGATTACTGACGAGCTAACGAAGTCAACCTCTGAACTGGCGCGTTGATCGGTTCTCCCATGCCGCTTCTGCGACGCTGATGGTCGGACAATCGATATTTGCATTTAAATATTTAGCTACGGAATAAGAAAACAGGTGTGGACTGTGGCCGCACAGCCAAGTCATGGCGTGAAGGACTTTGGTCGAGGTATATTTAGATATCGACTTAGCCTGTAAGTTGATGCACGGCTTAAGCTGATATGATCCACTATTTCCGGCTTGGGTTAACTGTCGCGGATTAGAGCCTGATGACTTCATAACGGACACGTCAGGCGCACCCATCCACCTGCTATCACGACCAAAGACACTGCGATCTAATAGATAAGTGAAGTCGTATTATCCAAACGATTTGCCCTCTCATGTCACATTATCTGTGACACGCCAACTGACTACCGCCCGATTGCAGACGGGCAAACCTCTTTGGGCGGCTGATTCACCCGGTGGTTGACGCGCTTGTTTTTCCTGTTGGCACACCTACCCGGCGATTGTTTTACCCTCACTCAGGGGGCGAGCAATTATCATTTACCAGGCCCGCAGCCAGCGCAGCCACGCATTGCTCAGTCGATGCGTCTCGTTGACGTGCAAATTCGACCCGATAGGAACCAGACCTCAGACGTGAAAGTCTGGCATCTTAGTCAAGTGCGTTTTAGAAATATTACGTGCCAATGATATCACATCGTAAACGTAAACCCCATCACTCAGTCACTTTCAAGCCCGGAGTGAGCCGGAACTCGATATAAAAACGGAAAGCTTCCTTCCTAACCTGCGCTAACCGGAGAGCCTTTATTTCATCGTTTATGCTGGTTTTCAAGGTTCGGCATCGTCCCAGCTGTGCAAACTACCAGGTCGCCCTTTAAGTAGGTGCCCCGACCCGCCGGCCAGACCGCAGTGCGGAAACCTGGAATGCATCGCTACACCCGTGTAGTCATATGGAACTTCCCGGCTCCCTGACAGAATAGAATCCGGGTACATCTGTTCGCCTGACCTGAATCGGAACCCATGTTCCACGACTGCGAAATCCAGCGACCGAACTTGACAGTTCAGCTTCCGTGGGAACTTCCGCACTAAAACTTCCCGAGCGCTTTCGGAAATGTAGATGAGCTGTAAATCAAAGCAACCGGTGTCTTCCGCAGCTGGAGTTCCGGCTTGACTGTTTGGATCACGAGCCATAAGTGGCCTTGTGATACCACCTGTTTGTTAAATCTTATGACGTCATCAGTGTGACCATAAACGTCACGGAGGGGCCGGCACGGCTCATCTGATAGTGCGCGATGACCGGCAGTCGGCACGGCGCCCGCATGTTAACAGTTTCGCCTTGATTGCAGCTGATTCAACGGCTTCTCTACTGAGTGTCTTATAAAGTCACCTGCATGCCTGTCACCTGATACAGCCATGGGCATTAGCCGCCATTGTTGCAATGCAAACAAATTGATAGCGCTGTAGCTGATAAAGCGACGTAGCTAAATCGCCTAAATCCGTTTAGAAATCAAAGATTCATCATTTTGCTTCGATGGTCACTAGCGATCTGTCACAAGCTACGTTTTATATCTCCAAATATTGTAAACCCTCTCTTCCGTCATTGTAAAGTGCGTGGTTTTGTTTCTCTAGTAACACTCCCAGTTGACGTCCACCGTGGCATGACACGATGCCGTTAGTCGTTAGTGTCACAATCACCTAACCACCTAGCTGAGCGTTTTCTTGACGTCACATTCCTTATGACCTAAGCGTGCCTATGTCATCACACACCGTCTGACCCAAACGCTTCCATGACGTCACACACCGTTTGACCCTAAAGCAATCCGTGGCGACCCTAGCGACCATATGACATCACTCAGCGTCTGACCCGAGCTCTCCAATGACGTCACCCAGCGTCTGACCCGAGCTCTCCAATGACGTCACCCAGCGTCTGACCTGTGTCCGACCCGTCTGTGTGCCGCAGGGACCGATGGCTGCGGCGATGAGCGGCGTCAGCCTGATGGAGGCCATCTCGGCGCGGCTGCGGCGCACTGACGTCACGCTGGAGCGCGCCGACAGCGGCGCAGAGGTCATCAAGCTGGAGCGAGCCGACAGCAGCGATGGCGCGCTGTCGCTGACGGCCGGCGGCCCGGCCGAGCTGCGCTGGCACAACGCGCCGATCGCCACTTACGTGGCCGAGCAGCGTCTGTTCCGGTGCGGCCAGTGCGCCGTCACCGCGTTCCTGGCCCGCCCGATGGCCGAGCACTGGCTGGGCGCGCACGCCGACTTCAAGGCGTTCCAGTGTCCGCACTGCCCGTACATGAGCTCGTGGCAGCGGTGCGTGCGCATGCATCTGGTGCGTCATCACGGCGACCGGGTCTCGGAGGTGGCCGAGTTCAGCAACAGCCACGTGATGGCCGACATCCTCGAGCGGCTATCCGAGCTGAAGCGCGACTCCGAGCTGCGCGCACCGCCGTCGCCGGCCGACGACGAGCCCATCGTCGAGGAATTGGTGATCGACGACGGCGCCGGCGGCAAGCGGCACCACTGCCCGCACTGTCCGTACTCGACGCACCGGCGAGACCTCTTCAACCGACACGAGAACATCCACAAGTCGGACAAGCCGTTCCAGTGCTACATCTGCCAGAGGATGTTCAACCGGGCCGACCATGTGAAGAAGCACTTTCTCAGGATCCACCGCGACGAGCCGTATGATGTGACGCGCATTCGGCGCATCCCGCCCAAGACGCTGACGGCGCAGGTGTACTACTCGCGGGCGGCGTCGCTCACATCCGACTCACAGCCACCGCGCTCCCCGGAGAAGCCGGTGGCGGTTGCGCCGTCGCCTCCTGCACTGCCACCACCGCCGCCGCCGCCGCCCCGCTCCAACCCCTCCGCGCGAAGACGTCAAGCCGCTGGTGCTGAGCCCGAACCCGCGTGTCGGCGTGCGCCGCTGGGCCGTGTCGCCGCCCGACAGTCCGGCGCCCACCAAACGGGCCGCCTCGCCGTGCGCCGAACAGAAGGAGAACCGACGCCAGCGGCGCGCCGACTCGACACCCAGCGAGTCTGACGCCTCCTCCGGCACAGAGGCCGCCGAGGCCCCGGAGCGCGCCAGCCGCCAGGGCGCGTTCGCCTGCCCCGAGTGCCCGTGGCGTGGATTCGACTCGTGGTGTCTGAAGCGGCACATGAACACACACACCAAGCCGTACACGTGTCCCCTGTGTCCGTACAAAGCTGCGCGCTCCGAGAGGCTCACCTGGCACGCCGCGAAAGTGCACGGCAAGAAGATCTGCATCAAGTGTTTCTATGTCTGCGACGACCAGATGACGCTGAGCGTCCACCAGTTGAGCACTCACCAGAACGGGCAGAGTCGGCAGGGCTTCACGTGCGTCATGTGCGCCTACACGTTCAAGCTGCACACCGAGCTGGAGGCGCACATGGTGGCCGAGCACGGGCGCGCCATGCTCGACTGTTCCGTGTGTATGTTCCGTACCACGGACCCGGCCGTGCTGACCGACCACGTTCGCTACAGCCACCAGCAGCGGCCGGGCGCGCAGCCGAGTCCGGCGCTTCCCGCCAGCGGCGGCAGCGCGGCGCCGCCCGTCATCCTGAACGTGCCGTCCGTGCGCAGCGAGCCCACGTCATCGCCGCCGCCGGAGGAGAGCTCCGAGCCGGCGCCGCCCCCTCCTCCGCCGCCCCCGCCCCCACCTCCACCGCCGTGCGAGGAGTGTCGCCAGGTGCGGCCGCCGCTGGTGTGCACCCACTCGGGCGGCACTCTGCGCTGTCAGGCGGCGCGGTGCCGTTTCGAGGCCGGCGACGCGGCCACCCTGCAGACGCACGTGTCGGCGCGTCACGCGGACGGCGCGCTGCGGTGCCCGCACTGCGCCGCGCCGCTCGGCTCGGTGCTCGAGTTCTGTCTGCACTGGCCGCTGCACCACGTGGCGCTGTGCTGGAGCTGCGCGCAGCTCACCGAGCAGCACTTCACCGTGCTGCAGCACGCGCCGCCGCCGGCCTCGGCAGCGGCCGACCCGGCCGACCCGGCCGCCATCGACTGCGGATCGTTCCTCCGGCTGGAGATGAGAACCGAAGAGGAGGAGGAGGAGGCGCTCTTCACCGGCGAGGAGGAGGAGGAGGAGGCGGCCGGCGGTGAGCGGGGCGCCGTCAAGAGGAGCCGCAAACAGCCGCGGCCACAGCGCCGGCCGTCGCCGGAAGCCGAGGACGGACAGCAGGAGAACGACAAAGAGTAGAGGCCGGTCGATAAAACCGATAGCAGCGAGATGGGACGGCGATGCGAGAGCGCATGTAAGGCAAAACAGATCAATGCTGCACTGGAATTTGTAAAAGCGTAAGTGGTACCTCAAGCATGTGGCATTTGAATGAACGTCGCGAATGTCGACGGCATTCGACGCAGCCTATTGCTCACCCTCACGCGTCGGCATGTTCTCAGCCCGCGGAGGGAGAAGTGGACTGCAGTGACCTGTATCCGGCCGAATCACCCAAGTGACCCGGCGCGATGACGAACTGAGTCGGGACAGAGCTAGTGTAAATGTGTGGACGTGCGACAGGCTGTCAGTGACTGACTCAGCGACCGTGTGTTCGTATGACTCATGTAGAGCCCAGAAGAGCTCGTGAGTGCCATAACAGCTCGGCGAGGCAGCCGTGCAGATCGAAAGCCGCAAAGCGCATGAAAGTGGGAGCGTCTGTAGAGCATGCCAATGGCGCATATCAGTTACATGTGCCATATACTTAAACAACACGTAAAATGGAGGTTAGCTGTTCGGACTGCATCACTTTATCACTGACCTTCCGATCAGCGTGGGGAGATTTGCTCAATATGTTTCAGCGCGTGTATTCCACGATGTGCATGTGTTTTGCGAAATACGAAGGTCTTGATCGGGCCCTTCATATCTTCGCTTCAGGGAACGTGAAACTTTGAGAGGTATGGTGGAATGCTCTAGTCAAATTCGTACAATGTACACTATTTTAGCATGAATGTCAGTGTTAGTGGTGTTTATTTTTAAATGCAGCATGCGTGTGAATATTGTAGCGAATTCAGAAGTAGTGATTACGTAGATGTCCAAGCAGGTTAACCCGCGCCGGGCCGGGGGGGGGGTGTTTGAACACCCCCCCTGCGGTTTTTCGCAGATCTCAAAAACGGCGGCGCGGAGCGCCGCCGTTTTTGGCACACCTGTTTGTGCATCTTTTCCGCACATGTTGTGAAAATTTCAGACCCAGGTCACCTTAGGTCAGGTCACCAGATCACGCTAAGTGACCTCACCTCAGAAAAAATAAGAATGCTCGTCATAGCTACACCGATTGATTGATTGCCTTGAAACTTTCAGCGATTGATTAGAGCAACAATATCTATAAAATGTATATCTCGGAATTTTGATATCGGTGACCTAAGGTCAGGTCAATTTTGCGACCTCTCCATTATAAGTCAATGGGAGAAAATTGAAAAGCGTCTGTTTTGCACGAACGTTATTCTAGACACTCTCAAACATCGAGATGTAGGTAAAATGGACACACTGAACCGGGAAATGGCAACTGTGACCCCTCGTTATGTCCCCGAGGTCATCTCAGGTCACGAACAGAATCTAACAGTTCTTCGCTAATAACTTCTGATAGAGACGTGCTAGAGCGCTGAAAACGCCTTAGATGTGTTCGGCTCGACGTTGCGGATCGACTGATATGCAACATGACCTTTTCCGGTCAGGTCATGACCTTGACCTGAGGTCAAATTTTCAAGTTGACCTTTCAAGGTCAAATTATAGTTCATTCGACGCGTCTCGACGAGAGGAACACGATGGTGGCAAAAGTAATGTCATGACTCTTTTGAGTCAAAAGTTATTACCGAAAAAACGTTTTTCGTAAAAACGGCTATTTTTGAAGTTTTTGCCCCCTGGAGGCTAAACCGTTGACCTGAGGTCAAATCTGAGAACATTACTCAGAAAGGTCTGTAAAAGGGCTATCGAATGCGCTTTTCCGCGGCGCTGTAGCTCTATCGGTTCCCGAGATAGCCGTTGGCAGTTTCCAAAATATAGTGGACATTTGACCTTTGGTGAACTCTGGTGACCTGACCTTTGACCTGACCCAAAAAATGACCGAAGTGTTTTCGTCCTTATTTTGGACGTTCTTTCGATTGCCGCTTACCGCGTGTCGCTACGTGGCCCAGGAGCCGAGTTAGAAGGGGGGGGGGGGTGTTCAGACACCCCCCCCCCCCCGGCCCGGCGCGGAATCTCAGAGCACCGGCCCGGCGCGGGTTAAGTAAGTACTTACTGTTCTATTTAATCATAACACATGGTTCTCCAAACGGAGTCACGGCCATGAGCATTGTGCCTCAACAATACCCCTTAGAACAGGATACCTCTCAGAACCAGCTATTTTTGTAAACTATTCATCCAACCCTACAGTCGCATAAGCTGACACATCAAGTTTGCACAAAGATTTAAACATTGAAGCGTCGCTATTTTTAGCTCAGGCCACGCTATTCTATGATCATACTATCAAACTGATTGAGCGACAATATCAAGCCATCAGGCTTGTCAACCTGTTGGCTGTTTCAACTCACAACCGTGCTGTGACTGCCGAGTGACGAGCTATTTTTGAATTTTCCGATCTATGTCCTGTTCACATGATCCAGTAACAAAGCATTTCCGCCATTGATCAAAATGTACAAATGTGGATGTGTGCTGTCGTGTGACGATCTATTTTGTGTCGTGTTTTGTAACGCATGTGTTTCTTAAATAAACATTACATAAAAACATATATTACTGTTACGTTTTTGGGAACACGAACAAATCTTGAGAAATATGCGTTAAAACGAGGAAGGTTTTCATCGGCAACACGATAAAATAGGCCAGCAAGGTCACAAAAGCAACAACATAGGCTACCGGCTTGGAGTTAGAGTCGGGGCTGTATCAAATAGCTCAGGATGGGTCAGACCGGCATCATGGTATATAGGGCCTTGGGCATCATTATCTATCTGAAAGGTTGAAATGTAGGCATACCACATACAGAGATCTATGAGCACACAAGTGAGCAGGCTCCTCTTATCGACCACCTCTTAACACCAACACTCTATCGATGTTGTCACCACCGTCAGTATGGAGGCCGGCCATGACATTCGAAGAGCGAGCGTCGGTCTGCCGACCGAACCTTTCCCACCGAATGGTCGGTGCCGGGCAGCGAGAGAGGGGAGAGGGGAGGGGAGGCCCGTGAGTCAGCCGTGGCGGCACAGAGATGGTCCTCTGGAGACCGCCGAGAAGGGGCGCACCCCAGCCTCCGGCCAGACCGGGGGGGGGGGGGCGGCTGTCCCCTCGGCGGTACACCAATCAATATCAGACGGCGGCAGGGGGAGGGAGGGGAGGACGGCCCCTCCCCCGAACCCGGGCCTCCCCCCCTGACTGCCCGTCGAAACTCCCCGACAGAAACGATCAATACTGCGGGCCGGGGGAAGGGGTGGGGTGGCGGGCGGAGGGAGGGCCCCTCCCGTTCGCCAGACAGGGAACGGGAGGGCTGCGAAGGGCAACAGACGGGGCGGATGAGGGAGGGACGGCCAGGGCCGGCGAGTCGGGCCGCCAAAGTCGTCAACCCCGGCCCCGCCATGCGATCCACCCCCAGTCATGAGAACACACGCACCGGCAAAAAGATCTAGGCATGTGTCGGTCCCTTTCTAAATGTTTTTTCCCAACATGTATGATAAAAGTCTCATGGTCTTGAAACCGGGCCCTGTTCATGAACCCTGCGGCCGCTGCGGCCGGCCGCAGGCTCTAAGCTCCGCCCATTTTTGAAACGTCATCACCCACTCGACCGCAATCAGCGTTCCATGAACACGTCTGCTGCCGAAATAGTTTCCGATAATTGCGCGCTTGAGACGATTACTAATCAATAGTTTCCACGCGCTTCTTTTATCTGTGTATTCCATTCCTGTGATGAAAAGGGCGTTTCTCAATGCCGTCTGGTGTTTCTGTATTTTTGTAAGTGGGTCACATAAATGATTTGGTATTCTTTTCATTAAATCGTAGCACAAATAACTTAAGTCTAAAATTAAACCTCTTATTAAAGCATTAATCTAATTTTTAGGTATCATGGCGTGCAACAACGGGCGGAATGAATTTGTTTACAACATCGTCTCCATGGCAACACAGCCTACACTTTGACTTCAGTGCGCCAAGTTCAGTGCAATTACTTTCTTGCGGCTCGGCGGTCGCTGGATTGCGGCCGCAGAGATCGCAGCGGCCGCAGCAAGGTGACGTCATACATTCGTCATACTACATGAGCCCCGCCCCTTTTTGTGACGTAACAACCCGGCTGGCCGCAGCGACCGCAGCGGCCGCAGCGACCGCCGGGGTTCATGAACAGGGCCCTGGTAAAGTCGTGGTTAAACTGGAAAAGTCGTGACTCATGCACCCATGCGGACCATGCGCATTAGGAACGCTCGCGCCCCGCCTGTCAGTAGCGAGACACGGTGCCTTATGTCTCGCCGCCGCTCCGTTTTGGCTTCACTCGGTCACGGCTCCAACGAGTACAAGGAGCTCAACCGTGCTGTGCGCGCCGCGATCAGAAGTGACAGCTGCCATGACATCCAGCGCCGCTTACGCGAGGAGGGAGCTGGCGCTCTGTGGAGGGTGATTCGGCCGGCTGTCGAGAGTGGAAGAGCCCAACACTCGCTCTCTGGCGTCACCCCTGACCAGCTGAACCACTTTTTTGTCAGCGTCGGTCCGCGCGTGGCTGACGAGGTGCGCGACATGGGTGAGACTCCGGACCTCCCGTGCCGACTGCCGCGCGTTGGGGCCGGTGCGTCTCGACCCTATCGCTGTCAGAGCTGAGGGCGGTAGTGTTTGGTATGAGTGGGTCCGGCGCCCGTGGGGAGGACGGCATTTGTGTGCGCATGGTCCGCATGTCTTTCGACGCGATTGGTCCGGTGCTCCTGCATTTGGTCAACTCCAGCATCTCTCTCTCTCTGATATCCCTCAATCCTGGAAACACTCACTCGTGCATCCTATAACAAATCCGGTGATCCTTCAGACCCATCCAACTTCAGGCCAATTTCGATAGTTCCTATTATATCCAAAATTGTTGAGCGGGCCGTCCACCAACAGCTCTACAATTACCTTTCCCAAAATCATCTCTTATCCCCAGCTCAGCACGGATTCCGGCCTCGTCACTCGACCGAAACCGCGCTGACCTCCATAACCGACCATATCCTGTCCGCGACCGACCGAGGAGAGATATCCCTTCTTTGCCTGCTGGATTTGAGCAAATGTTTCGATGTGATTAACCACGAAAAATTATTGATAAAATTACAGCTTTACGGAATCGATATCACCTGGTTTTCGGCATACCTTGGCGGTCACACGCAGAGTGTTAGCATCACTGACGCTCAAGGGATACGCCAAACTTCAGCCTCGCTTCCTAACAACATCGGCATTTTTCAGGGTTCTGCTCTCGGTCCACTTCTGTACTGTATCTTTGCCAACGATCTCAGTTTATTTGCCGATGACGCAGTCATCGTGCAATACGCCGATGACACACAAATTCTAGTCAGTGGTAAAAAATCGGAAATTCATAACGTAGTACACCGCATGGAACTTTCTTTGGCTTCTCTTGACCTTTGGCTACGCGCCAATGGCTTAAAAGTAAATGCAGGAAAAACTCAGCTGATGTTGTTGGGAAGCGCTCAAAATTTGCGCAGTGCCCCAAACATTACGGTAAAATTTCGCGATCACGTCATCAATCCCGTCTCGGAAGTTAGTCAAAATCTCGGCCTGACGTTCGATCGCAACCTCACTTGGAACACCCACGTCAGTAACGTCACGCGACGTTGTTTCGGCATTCTCAGTGGTCTGTCACATCTTAGGGGCCGCCTGCCATCGTCCGTCATCTCCGTCCTGGTCAATGCGCTGGTTCTCTCACAGGTCCGATACTGTATCACAATTTACGGCAACGGTTCGAAGAAGAACCTTGGCGCCATTCAGAAGAATAAGATTATAAATTACGGGGCCAAAACAATTTTCGGACGCAAAAAGTACGATCATGTTTCGGATCTGCTCGAGAAGCTGCGTTGGCTCAGTGCGGAGAATCTGGTGTCATATCACACACTGTGTATGATTCACAAACTGCTGCGCTTCCGGGAGCCCGATGAATTGTCGGCCGGCCTGTCTACAGTGGCCGAGACCCGGGGTGTGTCGGGAGCCCTTGACAGGGTCACCAGGCAGGACCGCGCACTGTATGTGCCCCGGTCCAAGACCGAGACGGGGAAGAGGCGCTTCAGGTGCCGTGGCCCAGCCCTGTACAACACCCTACCACCCGAACTGCTGGAGCTCCCTGTGCCCATTTTTAAACGCCGACTCAAGCAGCACTTGTCCGCTCGACCACCAGACTGATTATACTACTTTTTAGCCACGGGGTGTATGTGTTATGTTGTATGCTCGTATGTGAATGTGTGCGTGTGAACTGTGCATGAACTCCATGTTGAGCCTAATGACGACCAGCCCCATTTTTTACTATATGACGAGAGGTATTAAAAGCCACTCCAAGTGGAGCACCTCAATAAATGTCTGAGTCTGAGTCTGAGTCTGAATGGCAAGACAATCAAAATTCGCATATGCCCACCCACTTCAGACCCAAGTTAGATGCCAAGCTAAGGTCAGAGTTACATTTAAGTTACCAGGATTATATAAAAAGCATTGCAATATAATCGAGCAGTTATAGTTATCTTTGAAAAGGTAAAAGAACATAATAATCCCACTTTCAGTGTCTACCACCCACAGAGCGATAAACAATCTGCCCTGTCAAGTGCAAGGATCAAGATATGTCAATAATTCATATCGCATGCCCTGTAAGCCGTCAAAGATAGTCAGTTGATAGCACGACACGACATCTCTGCACTCTGGAGTGGCATCAGGTGACGGGGCGACGGTGACCCGGCCTGACCGATCCCCGGCACTCCGGCCGGCCCCAGCGCAGAAACAGTGAGTAGACGCAACTGAGCTGCTGCACAGTGTTTTCCCTAGCTAGTGTCGGTGTAAGAGGCCAGGAAGTGGTGTGGTGGTCCGTTAAACTGTTATGTGAGAGCATTGGGTGAGAAAATAATAAGGAGCAGAGAGGGAGAACAGTCGATGGTTAGGCTTCCAATGGAGGTTTTCAAGTCACGGTTTTCATGTACCTATCAAATGGATAAACGGATTTTACAACATTTTAACCCTATTAGTGGCAGGGGGGTTGTTTTTATCCACCCCTCAGGTTTTTCGAGAATATCTCCGAAACCGCTGAAGCTACGATGCTGAAATTTTCTGACTTTTCTTAAAACTAAATTGGGCACATTCCCTGAAAATTTCAAGTTCATAACTTTACCAGGGGCGGCTCCAGAGCACTGATTGGGGCCTGGGGGGTCCTATTCGTGAAGCGAGTCATTTGGGCGAAGATCACGATGCTGCACCAGTTTTACGAACAGTGAATGAAAGGTATCATGTGATAACATATACAAAGTTATTGTGCATCCTCTTTTGACACGTTTTTGCTATAATAGGCGGATCCAGGCGTCCAAAAAGGGGGGTTATTTTTTACCTCCCAACATAGGTGCCCTGACACCGCCTATGCATGACCAATACAATTTTAGTCGTTCTCTCATAAGAAAATTGTAACATAACAAGACCATTGCCACCCTTTTTAGAAACAGTACCAACAAAAACCTTATTTACTATACTTTTTGTGTACCCCCAATCTCAATGATCTGTATCCGCCTATGATTTTTGAAAATGCATATTTTTAGGATCCATGTGAATTCCTGGTTCATTCTCTATCGATCGGTAAAAGTTGCGTTAAGATTGGTTCAGAAACCTGGCCGTGATAAACAGTCTAAAATGTATCTGCAATTTGCCCGTTTTTACCCCCCTCTACCCCCCTATTGACATTTTTTTTTTTTTGAAATGTAGATCTCGTTGAGCCAAATCGAATGCCGTTTGAATTTTGAAAATCGGCCGGTTAGATCTCGAGATATCAAGGGGGGGTCGTAAACAGCCCCCCCCCCCCTGCCACTAATATGGGGTAGCCAGGAGCCTGCCACTAATAGGGTTAACCCTCGCCGGACCTATTGGTTTACTACATACGCGCCGGCCGAGGGGGGGGGGGCGGGTACGACCCCCCTCGCCGTTTCGCCCCTGGTGGAGCTAGCGCGTCGCGGAAAAAACGAGCGTGTGCGCCGTTTCAAGACGCAGAGATTGATACCCGATTTTAAGGTCCTAGGTCAACCGGTGACCTCTGAGGTCAGGTCAAGTGCCCCAAGGTACGGTTCGGTTTTTTGTGAATAACTTCGCAAAAAACGGCCGCAGAGCCGCGATTTTGGCAGCATCGTGTTCGCCTTGCTCAGGCGCGTCGAATGATATACTTTTTGTTTGGGTGAGGTCAACTTAGGGTGTTGACCTCGGGTCACGGTCAGGTCAGCGCCCCCAGGTCACGAAGTTTGTCGAAGGATGTCATATTGCATATCATTCGATTCGGCAGGCCTTCCTGAGTCCATTGCTGGCTTTCCCGACTCGCTAGCTCAATTCGATCGGGAGTTATTGACGAAAAACTAATATGACTCACGCAAGATCAACATTGCAAAAGTGACGCATGGAACCTTGCAAGGAGTGCCTGAAATCATGATTATGTGTGCTTGAGATAGTTGGAGATCGTTTCCGGCGCCAGAATAGCAGTTTTCATTTTTCCCCATTGACTTATAATGGTGAGGTCGAGAAAATGACCTGACCTCACATGACCTTTAGGAAAAATCCGAGATATACAAGTTGTGAGACTCCTAATGGATACTAGGTCCTGCAAGTTTCATTTCCCTGTGACACCTCCTCTGGCAGTGAGGGCGTTGCGAAGTTGCGACATCTGAAGACCGTGCAGAGGTTCACTTATGACGTCATAGGTCAGTGATCTGACCTGACCCGAAAATGCGGTTGGTGTCAAAAGATCCGGCTTGGAATCAAAGGTCAGGTATGCCAAGTGTCAGCTCTCTATCGCCAGCGTGTTCGGAGCTATCGCGAAAAAAAAAACCCTATGGGGGGGGGGCGGCACCCGCCCCCCCCTCGGCCGGCGAGGGTTAATCGAGGTGTAAGTACCCATTAGGGTGGCACTTATTCTGGGGGTAAAAAAAAATATTTTGGAGTTTTTAACGGGACGCCCCCGCATTGTATTCCACTTGACATAAAAACAACATTTGCAAAATATTTTGGAAATATATAAAAAATTAGAGGTCGCTCAACGAGGTCAAAGTTTCATTTTTACCTCGTAAAAATCAAGTTTTGTAAATTTAAGCTGCGACCAAATCGAAGTTTGAAAACAATGTTTTTGTGCTTCAAAATTCCCAAATGCTGCTGACAGACATACCAAATGCCACGTTTTTACTCTCTATCAACTGATGTGCCCATAGGTGGAAGGCGAAAAGGTCGATTTTTTCATTATTTTCACTACACATAAACTGTGTCATGCATTACTGTAGCGTAACGTAGGTATACGTGGTGTAGCTGCACAATGGGATGTAAGCGGTGTGAGACAGCTTCTACCGCGGAACCGGCCAGCCAGAAAACCGAGCAGCCGGTGACGTCCACTTTGGACAAAGACAAGCCTCGCGCAGAGGAAGGACGGCGCGGTGCAACGGCAAGAGTAAGAGTTTAAGCCCAACGAGCTATACCTAAATGAATTTGATGAGTAGAACACAGCGAGATGTGAACACAGAAGAACACAGCGATATGTGACCATAGAGAGCCGGTGAGAAGCACATTCCGGCGCCATGCAGCTGACAAGTTAGTGCAACTTGAGTCAGGTTCAAGGACCAGCGTCCAGCCGCATCCAAGGCGGATAACATCAACAGCTCCACCCGCACTGAAAACAATTTAACCCAAGGCCGGCGAGTAAACCGGTGTTTCGCGGGTACCCCTATCCGCAACCATTTTTAACCACCCTCTCAGGAGTACAGTAAGGTCCCATTGCAGTGTAGTCGTATCTGCCTCAGCGGACATATTCGCTGACAGCGGTTATGTCCGCTCAGAGCAGGTACGACTACACCGCAATGGGACCTAGCACTACTACTGGGACGGTGGTTAAAAAAATGGTTGCGGATAGGGGTACCTACCCGTGAAACATCGGTTTACTCGCCGGCCTTGTGTTAAATTGTTTTCAGTGCGGTCCCTACTAAGTCAGGACACCGCAAGGACCTCGATAGGACTGCATCCTTGAGCCCAAGTGGCCTTTCAAAATCCCGCACTTGATAAGCACAAGTATAAGCAAAAGAGGTTGTCATTTGCATTTAGAGTGGCTTAACTCGCTGTCCGCTGATGACGGATATAAATAATAAAACGACACTCACACTTGCAAAGCAGTTGTTTTGTAGTGTGACGACTTCATTTATTAAAAAAAAAAAACATCAGAAGTCGCACAAACGATGCATTTAAGCTACCAATATAGCATAAATCGCAGCACTATCTACACCAGTATCAGTATCTTTTAAAAGGCTGTAGAAAATAATAGACTCATCGTCTACCACCCACAGAGTGATGCGCAATCTGACCGGTGAAATGCAATGATGAAGGGGCGTTGTTGAGTTCTGATTCATGCCCTGTAAGGCGTCAAAGATAACCACTTGATAGCGCGACACGACATCTCTGCACTCCGGAGTGGCATCAGGTGACGGGGCGCCGGTGACCCGGCCTGACCGATCCACGGCGACCCGGCCGGCCCCGACGTATAAAACGGTAAGTAGATGCATGTGAGCTGCTGTACAATGTTTCCGCATAGTTGGTGTCAACGTAATAACAGGGTGTCTCAAAAAACGTGTCACGGTTTTGAATATCTCTTATTTCCTAACTACATAACCCACATCATTCAAATTTTCCAGATTTATTGGCAATATTAGGTACGACATCTTATGTGGCAGAATTACAAGCTCCTAGGCAAAATGGTTTTATACCAGAACAAAAAAAAAAAAAAAGATCTTCATTTTGGTGCTATAGGAGATGGTATACGTCACACTGTCACAGTCTGCGACGATTTCGGTAAGACTTCGGCTTGTGCTTGTGGCACCCAACAGCATGCTCGTCAATAGTTTTCTGCAACTATTAGACCAAAAACACCATGCAAAACAGACAATGGAATGGCAATCACCCATTAGTCTCTGGAGAGCGCGGGGTGCATTTATTCTGTTCAGGGTTCATAATGTCCAGGGTACGATATGCCCAGTGTTGAAATGGCCAGTGCTTTAATGGGCCAGAGTTCGTAAATGTCCAGGGACTGCATGGTCCAAATGCGGCCAACTGGCTGCAGAAAGGGTACATTTAAAGAGGCTAGTGTTTATGTAGTTAGGATTTTAAATGACCTTTTCTTCGATAATTAATTGAAAATGCAATACAAAGCAAATATTTAACAGTTCATTCTCAAGCCACATGAAACAATTGATTGCCCTTGAAAAATTGAAGCAATTGAAGCCATTGAAAATTTGCCAAACAATATAATATTTGCTTTTTATTGCGTTTCCAATTAATTATCGAGGAAAAGGTCATTTAAAATCCTAACTACATATATCAAGATGTTCCACGCTAGAGCACTGCATACTATTTCTTCAGGCTAGTGTTCACATTGTCCAAAAGAGGCCAGGTGCATATTTATTAGGCCAGCGCTCATAATGTCCAGGGCACAATTTGTCCAGTGTTGGAAATGGCCAGTGCACTATGGTTGGAAACGGCCTCACGGATGGCCATGGGCAATTTCGGAATATATGTATATTTGGGGTGTCATTCTGTTGGAAATTGATGAAATGTTTTGAATTGGGCAGAAAAAATATTGAGTTGCGCATTTAGTCTTCATTATCGTACGTGGAATCGGGAGTTTCTGATAGTGGCTTTTTTGGTGCGCCGTCAAAGGTTTAAACAACCGCGCAGGTGATAGCATGTGGAGTACCTCAATGACGATGTAAAACTGGATTATTACG